CTTGGCTCCGGCTCTGTTTCGTGGCGGTCTACCTGCTCGTCTTCTGTTCTCAGCTCCAGTTGTGAGGCTGAGATCTACGCAGGGGCCATGGCTGCACAGGAGTTACGCTGGCTCACCTACCTGCTGACCGACTTGGGCGAGTCGCCTCGTTCTCCTCCAGTTCTGTACGTCGACAACAAGGCCATGATTGCCTTGTGTCAGGAGCACAGACTGGAGCACAGAACGAAGCACATCGCTCTGCGCTACTTCCTTGCTCGAGAGTTGAAGCAGCGTGGTCAGCTTCGTCTTGTCTACGTGGCCTCTCAGGCCAACACTGCTGATGTCTTCACCAAGGCACTTCAGCCTTGTGATCATCAGCGTTTCTGTACTGTTCTAGGCCTTGTGCCTACTTGGCCTCACTTGCTCACTTCTTGACTTTGCTTGTACTGTGATCTATATACTTATACCTGCATGCTTCCACTTGCTAGGTTTTGATCACTGTACTGCTTGTTCTGCTTTATATAACTCTGCATGTTAACTGGCCCTGTGGCCATTTGCTTGTGCTCAGAATGCGTGGTGACATTGTGATCCACCCTGAGCTTGACCTTGCCTCGTTCCCTTGCTTGCCTCCCACTTTGCCTATGGGGGTGTGTCAGAACTATGCATATATGCTCTAGGCTGTAGTGGGGCACTCCTTATGGGGTACAGCCCAGATTAGGTTTTGCCTATACAAACCTTGTACTGCTCCCTTTCTAGTCATTCTTTCCTTCTCATTTCTGACACATAGCATGAGATGCAACTTATCGTAATCGCCCGGATAGAAGACATATATGTCTTATCTTATACCCAAAAAACAAATGCTTGGTTGTCTTGTATTTGGGAAGGTTTCGGGTATCTTATAATTCTTATCAATGGACAAAATTTATATGAACTCTGTAACATCTACAAAGTATGTAGAAACCACCCAAGGGCCAGATTCATTCAATTCGGCTGACCTTGCATGCGTCGCCACCACATGCAACGTGAGGGATGCAGCAAAGCTGCCTGTGCTGGCAACATCCCTCCCTGCTAGCAGCATCTAATGATGCTGCCAGTGTCGTTTTGCTGCCAGTAGCGCATAGATGCTTCCAGAATGCTGCTGGCAGCACGATGGCAGCGTCAGAGCTGCCATGTGATGTCCTTGTCAGAATGTTGTATTTGTCTAGCCTGCAGTGGGGTACTCTATAGCGAGTACAGCCCAATCTAGGGTTTCCTATATGTACTCAACTGCTTGCTAGTGAACCTCCTCCTTTCTTCATTCTTACTTTCTACTGCTAATTCTGACATGCTATCAGAGCAGGTCGATCCCCTTGGGTCGATCCTGTGGGTGGGCCCACCACCTCACTGCTTCCGCTGCTACTGCTACTCTGTGTGTTGCACGCCCCGTGGCGTGCGACGAATTTTTCGTCCCGCCGCGCGCACGGAGCGTGCGGCGGTTTTCTGCCCGCCGTGCGCCCCGAGGCACGCGGCGGTTTTCTGCCCGCCGTGCGCCCCGAGGCGCGCGGCGGCTTTCTGCCCCGTCACTCCGCGCGTCGCTCCCGGGAGGCGCTGCGACGGGCGACGGGGACCCGCGCGTCGCCCCCCGTCGCCCGTCGCGGCCTGCGCGACCTGCGTAGGGCCCGCGCGCGGCCCGTACAGCCTGCGCGCGGCCCGTACGGGCTGCGCCAGGCCTGCGCGCGGCCTGTACGGGCTGCGCCAGGCCCGCGCGCGGCCCGTACGGGCAGCGCCAGGCCCGCGCGCGGCCCGTACGGGCTGCGCCAGGCCAGGGCGCGCCTCGGGCCGCCCGCACGCGGTTCGTACGGGCTGCGCCAGGCCCGTGGGCGCCCTGTTTCCTCTTCCCCTGCGCTGCCCGCTGTCCCCCGTGCTTCTGACGGTGCCCCACCCCTGCTGCTGCCCGTTCTCCTGAATTAGGGTTTGGGGGTGGGGGGTATGGGGGTGCAGTTTCTGTGCGTCGTCCCCTGCTCCTCCTCCTCCTCCGTCTCCCAGTGCTGCAGCTGCCGCTGAGGGGGGTGGGTGTGTGGGAGCCGAAGGAGTGGTACTAGGGGGGTGACGTGCAAGTGGAGTTAGGAGTGAAGCAGTGGGTGTGTGGGGGGTGTGTGGGACAGTTGGAGGAGGTTGAGCGGAGGCTGCTGTCTTGTCGTCCGCAGCACCTGTAGTCCGGGGCGCACTGTCCTGGTAGCCCAGAGAGTCTGCTGCGCCTGTCGCCCGAGGGTCCGTTGCTCCTGTAGCTCCTCGTAGCCCGTGAGCCAGTTACTCCAGTAGTCCGGGGCGCACTGTCCCGGTAGCCACTGTGCCAGCAGCTCCTGTTGCCCGTGTGTCTGCAGCTTCAGCCGCCGTCTCTCATCTTCTCTCCTCTCACAGTCCCTCCTCCTCCTCACTTGCCGCTGTGATTACCTCTAGCTTTGCTTCTTATTGTGAACTCCTGCTATACCTGCTCATTGTGCTGATTACACCCCACTTTGGCTATGGGGGTGTGTCAGAATGTTGTATTTGTCTAGCCTACATTGGGGTACTCTATAGCGAGTACAGCCCAATCTAGGGTTTCCTATATGTACTCAACTGCTTGCTAGTGAACCTCCTCCTTTCTTCATTCTTACTTTCTACTGCTAATTCTGACAGTCCTCTACAAGGGCATTTCTCGTAGAGGAGCGGTTCGGCGGCCTCAGGAGGGGGCACTCTGGCTTGGGTGGTAGTCGGGCTGGAGCTTCATTTTGTGCTCATGGAGGTTGAGATTAGCTCAACCAATGCTCTCAGCTGGCTGAACCATGCGTAGCAAAGTCTCTGTAGGCGCAACGTCACCTCGCCCTCACGTGCAGGTTAACAACTATGGGCGCATCAACTCGCCCGGTGATGACATCCGTGTAGCTATGGCGAAAGAGACGCGCAAGACTGCATCCATAGCGGGATGCTCTAACGCTGGCTCAGGTGCGAGCTGTGACGAGGACGACGGCGACGAAGACCATGGCGACGGGGGCGAGGAAGATTGGCTGGAGAACGGGTACGACGACATCGCATCGGGTGAGGACGTACCTGTTGGCGGCATCGACGATGACGACTGGTGGAATCGGTCGATTGGCTCCGGCGACGAAGTGGAAGAGTGGAGCGCCGGTGACTCGGACAACGACGGAGGCGTGGATGCGGATGAGGATCGGCAGGAGGATGGTGATGCGGCTGCGGATGCGACGGTGCAAGCCCCTGCAGCGACGACTAAGGAAGTGCCTGCGGGAGCGACAGCGGATGCGGATGCGGATGATGAAGCGGAAGAGGAAGCGGATGCGGATGCGGAGGCAGATGCTGATGCGGATGCGGTCACGGTCGCGGTCGCGGATGCGGATGCGGATGCGGATGCGGATGCGGATGCGGTCGCGGATGCGGTCGCGGATGCGGTCGCTCGCGGATGCGGTCGCGGATGCGGGTGGTGTTGATGCTGGCCGGGATGCCGTCTTCTTCAAAGGCGAAGAAGACAAAGACGACCCATGGCGCATCACCGACGACGAGGTTCCTCTGTTGAAGAGGAAGCTGCGCCATTGCCTCGGCGTCCGCACTAAACGCACCGGGGTGGTGCTCTCGGATGGGGACAGCCCGGCGGAGGAGCATCGACCTCGCCTCAGTGCTGCAGACAAGAGGAAGCGCAAGGTCGTGGAGGTCCCTGCTAAGGCTGATGGTCGATGCCGCACAAGCAACAAGAAGCGGAAGAGTGATGGCGACCCGGGTTCCAGCAAGGGTGCGAAGATAAAGAAGCCCGTGTAGGGCAAGGACGACATCGTGATCAACGAGGCGCTCGGCAGCGACAATGACTACGCGCAGGCTGCAGACCCCATTCCTTCATTCCCCGAGAAGGCTAAGCCTAAAGACCCACCCTCCGTAATGCTGACTCCCGTCCCCCTTCCCCACGCAGTCGCGGCCTTAAAAGTACCAGGCGATCTTGGAGTGTGCGCGAGAAACTGAAGTAGGCGCGACGCTACCAGGAGATTGTCTCCCTCAAGAAGGCCTCCGCTGAATCCTATGCCTCCATCGCGTGCATCCGACGCTGGAGCGCGCAGGCTGCCGCAAGCGTATGCACGGGGCGGGCCGCCATTCACACTACCCCGACATGGAGGCGGCGTTGTACCGCTACATCTGCCTGCAGCGCGCGAATGGGGTGGCGATCTCGATGAAAGACACGCAGAATTGGAGCCGCGAATGAATTCACACCACCCCGGAAGGAACTGGAACGCGAGCTCACACTAGAGCCAACGTTTCCGCGACTGCTGGAACTTGGTCATGCGTGTGAAGACCAAGGTTGGCCAATGGTTGTCGGCTGGTGAGTGGTTCTTTGACTCAATTTGCATTAGATTGTCCACTGTATGTGAGTGGCTCACATGTTCAACCATCCCCTCCTTTTGTGCGTTTTTTTTCCTTGGCAGAGTGCGCTAAAGATGCGAGGCGTTTTGGAAGTTCGTGAGAATCAACAGGGCGCGACACAACATCGACCTTGCCCGCATCATCAACGCGGACCAGACGCCTCTCTTCGTTGAAATGCGACAGGGTTTGGTTCAAGATGAAGAACGTGCAGAATTGCGACATTCCGACAGATAAGCAAAAGGTTTCCAAGAGTGTTGAGCTGGCCCTTCTTGGCTAACGCCCCTCTCTCCCTCTGTACGTGGCAGGAGTCGTGGTCCAAGCACAGGATAACGGGTGGATGGACGAGAGCGTTGTGCAGACCTGGCTGTTCAAGGAGGTGCTGCCCCATCTCAGCCCCCAGCGCGGCCAGAACGCGAGGCGCGTGATGCTGGTGTTGGACTCCTACCGAGGCCACATCACCCAGGGCATGCTGCAAGCCTACCGCACGCACAGCATCACCCCTGTCGTAATCCCAGCGGGTTGCACCAGCCAAATTCAACCCCTGGACATCTCTATCAAACGGTGCTTCAAGGCCGCGGTGCGAGCACGATACGCCAGGTGGTTCATGCGTGGAGGCATTCACCTGAAGACGAAACACGATGAGTAAACTTCATAAACTTCACCCCTGTTACCCCTTAGTGTATCTAACGGCACCCTGTGCCTGCCTCTGACCCACTCGCAGGGAACCTGGGGAGGCCTCCGCACCCCGTGGTGCTGCAGTGGATTGCGGAGGCGTGGGATCAAGTTCCCACCGAGGTCATCATTGACGCGTTCCGCCACTGTGGGATTTCAAGCAAGCTGGACGGGATGGAGAACCACCTGGTGATGTCTCACCTGCGCGCGAGGAGCACCACTGATGTCTCCGAGGACATGTGCTTCAGGGGGACCACGGGCGATAACACGCGCCTGCTTGGGCAGGCTCCGAAGGAGGAAGAGGAGGAGGAGGAGGAGGAGGAGGAGGAGGAGGAGGAGGAGGAGGGAGAGGAGGAGGAGGAGGAGGAGGAGGAGGAGGAGGAGGAGGAGGAGGAGGAGGAGGAGGAGGAGGAGGAGGAGGAGGAGGAGATGCAGGCGGAGGGGCGTCAGGGAGGTCGGCATGGCAACCGGGCTGGAGGTGCTGTACCAGGAGACCCCCAACTACCGCGGAGCGGCTGCCGAGGCTGACCGCATGATCGAGCCCATGCAGACGGCCAGGCATACCTGGCGAGTGCCAGACTTGGGGGTGCAGGAGCCTGCATCTGCTAGTGCAGATGAGGAGGGCGTTACGGACGGGGGCTAGGTAAAAGTAGCAATTGATGAATGTATGCATGTACCCCCCTTAATGCACTAAGGACCGTTTAGAAGACACCCCCCTTTTATAAGATAACCCCTAAACCCTAGTTCTCATTACAAGATACTGTCTTAACTCGTACACACATACAGGTGTCTCATAATCAGGAACACCCAACTATAAGAAACACCCGTTTTAAAGACACCCCCTGTCTTCTATTCAACACTGTCTTATATCCGGGCGATGACGGTAGGGTGGTACGACTAGACATCTTCTGAGACAAGCAACAACACAAACAAACAGAGATGCAAGAGGCAAGTCTACAACAAACGAGTTTATGTCCAAACAAGGCCAAGCTACGAACAGAACCTGTGGTGGTCCCAGGCAGGGGGGCCTTGGTGAAGATGTCCGCAGTGTTGGCCGCTGAGGCCACAAAGACCAAGCGTGGCTGGCCGCGTCGTTGCAGCTCTCGCAGCGGGAAGTACCGCAAATCGATGTGCTTCACTCTTCTCTCCACTCGAGTCTCTCGACATAGGAGGATCATGGCCTTGTTGTGAACGAACAAGGTCGGTGCAGAGATAGGCCGCTCACCAAGGCCAGTGAGCAAGAAAATCAGCCAGCGAAGCTTCTGAGCAGCCATGCCACCAGTGTAGATCTTGGCCTCAGCACTGGATGAATCCACAGATGACAAACAAGTAGATATCTACGACACAACTCTAGATTCCAAGCTGAAACAATATCCCTGAGACGACCTGCAGGTCTCCTCGTCGTCCTCCCTCGACGAGTCACTATGCCCGGTAAGTCGCACTGGCTCTTTCCCTCCAAGCACAAGCCCCATGACTGATGTGGTTGCCATGTACTTCGCTACCCTCTTAGCAGCCGTCCAGTGAACAGGTTAGTGTCTCCCAGTTGCAACAAAGTGAGCAATGACGCTGAGAGGATCGGCGAGGTCCAGTGGAGTACACGTTATCAGGTACATGAGGCACCTCACAAGCTCTGCGTAGCGACCACTAGGCTCAACATGCTCATTGGAAACAGGAGCAATGAGCATGTGGTCAACAGCAAGAGGAGTGGGCTGTGTGGTGGAGAACTGAAGCTCGAACCGATGAAGGACCTGCTGCACCATGTGTGACTGAGTCAAAGTGATGGTGCGCACTGCTCTGTCCCTGGTGATCTGCAAGCCAATATAGCTGTGCAGCTCACCAATATCAGTGCAGGTCTGTCTCTTCTGCAGTTCTAACATCACTTAAGCCAGAGAAACCTTGTATTCGAAATCGAAGACCAAGTCGTCGATGTAAACAAGGACGAAGAAATGAGTGGACCCATAACGGACGTACAGGGACGGGCTGGTAGAAGAAGGGCAGAACCCGCGGTGCAAGAGGGGTACGCACTCACGAGGTGCCGGACGCAGTCCGTAGACTCGTCGTCTCAGGCTCCACTAGGTCCCAGGTGAGAAAGTGCCAGTGAAGCCAGGAGGATGTCGAAGCGAGATCTCCTCGAGCAGGCTGCCCTGGAGGAAGGCAGTGGAAAAGTCTAGTTAGTGTAGCTCGTAGTCTCGCTGTGCTGCAACGTACAGCAGTAACCGAAGAGTGGTCATCTTCGGGGTGGAGGAGAAGGTATGAAAGAAGTCTACTTTCGCACATTGACTTAAGCCACATAGCGCGCCTTGAAGACAGGCGGAGATCCAGGCGGCCGCTTCACCTTGAAGATCCACATGCCATTGACTACGTTCGCCCGAGGAGGGGGGACGCGTCAACATACGTGCTTGTGGATCTCCAAGACGCCATCACTAAGTCCATGGCTGTTATCCACTAAGAGGCCCACTGTCCCGACACTGCCTCAATGTTAGTGCGAGGAGTTGGGATGTCTGGAGTGTCAGAGTCTCCTTCAAGGGCTAGCAGCATGGCACAGAGGTGGGGAGCGGTGGCCGCAAGGAACTCCAGCTAAAACTGCCTGTCCTATAGGACGTCACAGCCAAGGGCAAACTCACTCCCGGTGGACAGAGGATGGGAAGCAGGAGCGGACACCAACCGGATGGCGTAGTCAAGGCGGCGAGTGGAGGCAAAATCAGTGACAGCGGCGTCAAGAGCCGAAACAAACGATGGAGAGGCAGTAGGGCCAGTCACGAGAGAGGAGAGGACATGAGAGACGATAAGGCGGGCTGTACGCAAGTAGTCAGAAAGAGGGTGTGAAGACACTGTGAGAGACGACGCAGGAGGTAAAGGAAGCAGAGAAGGAGGCGGGACACGACGAGGGATAGTACGAAGAAACAGGGAGTGGAGGTCAGAAACGAAAGACGAGGAACGAGCCTCTGCGGAATGACGAGTAGTCGAGGAGGAAGAGAGACGAGACGGAGAAGGATGCAACAGAGGAGACAGCAATGAACGAGGAGGAGAACGAGCCGGAGATGCGTCAGGAGGAGAAAACGGGGGTACCGTACCCAGGCAAAGGTGGAGAGTGTCCTGGCACAGAAGGAGGAAGACCAAGGAGACGAAGGCGGGGGGGTAAGACTAGGAGGTAGGTGGCCTAGGAACTAACCGAATCATACCCTAAAAGGGTTGTACTCTCTAGGGAGTGCCTCACTGTAGCCTAACATGCAAATATGACATTTGACAAAATTTGCGCACTAGATACACATAGTAAATTGCATTTGGGCATTTGCGCGCACAATTATTCCGCTCTCATATTGCAACCATATGCGTTTGGGAGCATTCAGACAGTCCATAGACGTGACATCACGTGCAGTCCTTCCTTGACCACGAGAAACAATTATGTTTTAGCCCTCTCCCATGCCTTCCCTACCACCCGTTTCAAAAACAAATATACTCTTCCTTTTCCTATGCAAGGTATTGGCGGTGACATGCGGACGTGCATGAATCTGGCATCTGACTTCACGCTCGAGCTGATCGGCAAGAATACCCCAATCGATAGGTGAAAGTGTCAATTTACACATACACTTTTATTTGTGCACATTATAGGCTAGTTTGGGTTACTCTGTAGAGCGTACATGGTTGGTACATATCCACCCATATCGCCCTCAGATTATGTTAGGTCATCGCTTCCGCCTCGCCTACCCTAGATAGCCTTCGACTCGTCCTAAGTGCCCCCCCCCACCCTCCCCCCCTCCCTCCCCTCTCCTCCCTCCCCCCCCCCCCCCCCCCCCCCCCCCCCCCCCCCCCCCCCCCCCCCCCCAATGCGCCCCCTAGCGCGCCCCGTAGAGCACCCCTAGAGTGCCCCCTAGCGCGCCCCCTAAAGTGCACCTAGACTACAAACACAAGCTCCTACACTAGCAAAAGGCAAGGATCCTAGGTTAGGAACACGCACACAAACAAATCCAGCAGCACTATAATGAACATCAGCATACATGACATAAGTGCGAGCATCATCCATGTTAAGATCAAATACATTAATCTTACGGGCATGCAGCGTTGCCCAGCGCGAAGTGCTTGCCTCAAAGCCGTGTCGCTAACAGTAGAGGTCGCCGAGGCGCAGGAAGCAACGCGCTGCAGAGTGGTCGGAGCGCCCGCAGAAAGCGGGACTACCCAGACCCGTCGGGATCCAATGTAGGGGCCAAACTCGCGGTCAGTGGGACGAGGCCCCCAACTGGCGGGGTTGCCACAAGGTCCCCACTGCTGCGGAGGGCCCCACTGCTGTGGAGGACCACACGGCTGGAACTGCTGTTGCATCTGCCGTTGCGCCTGCTGCTGCAGCTGTCCCTACTACTGCTATTGTCCCTGCTGCGGCTTCTGCTGCTGTGACTGCTGCTGCTGCTGTACTCCCTCCCCACCACCAGGGCTAGCACATCCTCCCGTCAGGCCCGCAGGCCCAGTACCACCTCCAGTGCCGCCTCCTCCAGGCGCACTAGGACCGCCACCACCTCCGCCACCCCCACCTCCACCACCGCCGCCACCACCACCCTTCCCCCCTCTCTTACCTCCGTTGCCTCGTTTCCGCCCACCAGTGGCAGAAACAACTGCACCCTCCTCAGAAACAGACAACGCAGCAGTGGCAAGAGAAGCACTGAAGGTGGGAAGCTGGGGCACAGCACAACCCTCAAAGAGACGGGGAACTACTGCGGCAGTAGCATAGGCAACAGAAAGGAGGTTACTTTTGATCTTCGTGAGACTGCTCTCAAAAGCTCGATCGTAAGCTCACTGGGGTGCTTCTGAAGAAGCACGTCGCGTGCAGAGGAAAGGCGGTCAGGGAGGCGAGTGACTAACTAGTGAAGGGTGAGCCACATGGGTGTGGGGGCGAGGACAAGTTGGGCGTCGGTGCAGACTGCACGGTAGCTAGTGTCGAGGGAACGCAGGTGAGTGACAAGGTCGGAGACAGTCTCAAACGACCCAAGGTCAGGGAACACAAACGGCATGAGGAGGCAGCTGAAGGAGGCAGAGGAAGGGGTGGAATAACGAGCAACAATAGAGTCATAGCACCCCTTCGCAGACTCTACCTAGGAGAAGTGGGCGGCCTCAGTCGGTGGGAGAAGGTACGTTAGTGCAAGGCTGGCAGCGGCGTCGCGAAATTCCCAGACGCCTTGCGCCAAGAACAGCCTTTCGTATGTCGCCTGCATATTGGCAGTAGGAGCGGGCACAGCTGGCATGGGACTAGGGCGGACTGGGGCTTAGAGAGCGCCGGACGCGTGAGCGTACAAAGTAGCGCCGTCATGACGCTGTCTCGTAAGGTGACGCTGGGCCTGGCAGAGCCACGTGGTAAAGTCTATCGCATGACTCTCTGTGTCGAAGCGCAAAACTTGAGAGGACGCCATAGTAACGGCATGGAGCAACTGGAGCTAGGAGTGGCTAGAGGGCGGAACGAACGAAGCTAGGAAAGCCAGGCTAGGAACGACCGGAGTGAGGAGTAACGGGAACTAGGAACGCCAGGCTAGGAGCTGTCG